GCCCATTCTTGCAATTCATCCACCTTATCTTGTCTCTGTGTAATAGGAAAAGCAAGCCAATTTATTAGGGTTTGTACACTTTCAAGAGACAATTTTCCAGGACTTTTTCAGGACTTCAAATATACATAGCAGTCCTTAACTTTCAGGGGCAACCAAGTTTCTTCTTAAAAATTAAAGATGGCAAAGATGCCTATAAAGAAATACCAACAGTTTCAATTGATACTGGATTCCAAATTGCAAAGACTTTCCGATACCAGAAGTCCTCATCCCGAACTTTCCAGTCTAGGAAAATTATTTACCAAATTCCAGGCCTGTCTTATTTTTAGGACCTGTGCAAATCCTGTTTATGGGTTTATTTACTAAACTACACCAGCCAAAAGCTACCCAACACAAAAAGAACAAACATCATTTCCCTATTTAGCATTTAGTTTCTTCAACAAATTTGATAAATTTTTAGTTTACTATCATCATTGCTCAACTAGTATGTAAGTGTTTACATGTGAACACAACTCTTACATCTCTATCAAGTTTCTTCTTGCGTGATCCTGCATACACTTGTTCAATTTCTGACTCAATTTGATCCACCTGGAATAAAAAGAAAAAAAAAATGACCAATCTCTAAGAAGACCTATTTAAAATCTTCTACATTCAATTCATACATTCAAAAGAAGGTACATATTTGTGAACCACAACCAAAACCAATGTAAACATGAGGCCATGCATCAACCATTACAGACATTTCATTTCTTTTAATGTGCTTGGGTAAACTCACCTCTATTTGTAGCCTTTCTAGGACTTCCTGCAATGAGAAAAGCAATCAGGGAACTTTAATATTTCCCTTTTGCTCCAAAATAGAAATAAAACTGGCTTACTTTGCTGATTCATGTGGTCAGCTTTCTGGGATAATCTTAGAAGTAGCAATATTCAAATAACATGGCTTGTGACAGGCAAATTCACCATTAACTCAAAAAAGAGACAATCATTCAAATTTCTGATTACACATAGTTATTGGGCAAACTTCCCAGACAGATCACAAGAAAGAATGGTTTCACTTCTGGCTTATCAGAAATGCAATCTGAGGATACAGTAGTCATCAAAACTCTTGTTAGATTTGGTTAAATCCTCAGCCTATGGTGATTCTAGAAACTATACTTACTGTAATCCAAATACTGGCCTCCTCTCTCTCTTTGGTTGCAGGGTCTATCTTTGCAGCAAGTCCAAGTCCTGTTAACACCAAAATTATTACTTAGATTAAAGTATTCCCTTGATTAAGTGTCCAAATGCTTATTTAAAATTTCAGCATGTTCAATGGTGGTTATTCAAGGGAGATGCTTATTATTCTCCTCTACTGATTCAACTGTGGTTAGCTTAAAAAGTTATAAATAAAGTGGCCCTAGAAATAGGTTTTCCTTGTATTCCTAATATTAAGGAAGTGAGGAAGGAAAAGGGGGGTGCTTATTTGGGAGGGGCACTTGATTAACAATATTGCCCAGGAGGTGGGCGTTATTTGAGGAAGGATGCTTATTAGAGCGTGGGTGCTTTTTCAAGGAGACAAAGTATATAATTAGGTTCTGCACAAAACCCCTTCCTGAAGGACATTTGAAAATAATTCTCTTTTACAATATAATGCTCTGGTGACAAAACATACTTCAATTTGATAAAATACATACCTTCTTTAGAATAGGCCTTGGTTTTAGTCTCTCTCTCAACAACCTTGAATCTTTCCATTTGCTAAGAGAAAGAGACAATGTTTAATAACAAATTACTTCAACCTTTAAGTTCTCAAGAATCCCTCGAGAAAGGTTGTAAGTTAATTATAAGATAACTAATCAATGTTTGGAAAACACTAAGTTAATTGCCGCCAATGTATAGCAGTCTTAATTTAACTATACCATAATTAAAAATGGCGCTACTCTTGGACGCCATTTTGAAGAAAACAAACTCTATACATTACCGTCTCGATAAGTTTTCTGTTTTCCTGGAGAGTTCTCTTGTCTTTGATATCATTAGACGCCATCCAGGTCTTAATCTGGTCTCGCAACCGCTGCAAAATATTCAACAAACTTTAAATTTCAAACTGGCGGCAAACTGAACTGGGAATGATGCGAGGGTTGTACGGTGTAATGACAAACGACAAAACGAACATAAATGAACTCTTTGCCAAACCTGTAGTTTCTTGATCTCCTTCTTGAGGTCTGCTTCATATTTTTCTTTTTGATTCGCGTTTGACGCACTGTGAACCTAAAAGAATACGTCACCTATTATTATCATCCAAACTGTCCAAGTGTGAGCCTAACGTGCTGAGAATAGCATCTCAATCATGGCCTGTTCGAACTTCACGGTTTGACTTATAACTCTTCCAATTACCTTTTGCCAGATATCTTCAAATGTCTCTACACCTTCTTGTACTTTCTTTAGGCAACGGTCAATTTCACCTAGGATTAAACAGGCAAAATGAAAAAAGGAAGTGGGACGAAATCTTTGCAAGTCAAAAAAACATCAAGGGAAAGCCATGAACTCGTCCTACCTTGTAGCTTCCGTTTATCCGCCATTACCTCGCTGCGTCGCTCTTAAGAAGCATAATTTCGTAGCTGGAATAACTACTGGGATATTCAGCGTTAAAATTCCGCAATGATTGAGAAAAGTGGGGGAAATTAATTCACGAACTGTAAGGGATAACTTGGCAAAATGATGCTTTTCACCTCGCCATAAAAAGTACTATGGGATAATTCTTGACAAAGCGCATGAGCACACCACCTACATGTCATGCGCTAACGTGTGTTTTCCATTCCGAGAAAACGAAGTTGAGAAAAACACGACATCGCGCCTAGCGGAAATAGCACTATTTTCTTCAAAAACTCAATTCTAAAGTGAGTATTAAATACGGGTATATTTACTCTTTCGTCGCTTTTTTATTATTTTATTTTCGACGTACTCGACAAGAATGAGCTCGTTACTCTATAGCTTGTTCCCAGGCTACCAATCCGCGGCTGTAAAACGCCTGTCAGTTTTTCCCTAAACACACACTAATCACGCCACAAGAAGTCACTCTGGGAGGTAACACCTGCGTTACTGTAAGACACTGAAATTTGGCAATAGTTCAAAAAAGCAGATGAAAATAAAAACCAACGCTTCTTCTACCAGCCTAAGACCACCTCTACCAATTCCTCACTTTCATCCATCTGGAAAATACAAATAAATTATCAGTACTTTATGCCAACCTCCCCCCTGTTCCGCCCACGCGACTCTAAATCTACAAGAATCAAACGTCAATTTAGGTAGGATTCAATTTAGGAGCGAAAACCAGTGCAACCCGGTAAAAAACCTCGCCGATATCCTTCCGGCTAATCATTCGTTCGTCTCCTTTTACTGATATCCTAACCGGCGCAGACTGTGGTTTCAATAGTTTATGAAGCAATTAGCTGGGGGTATTTTTGCTTCCATCATTTTCCTAGCTTCCTGCATAGGCATATTCCGTTTCTTTTAAGCTGGCGGGTCAAGGGGTTGAGCTGGAGTCACAGAAAACATGGCAGCTTAATTTCTTGCTTCAGTTTTCTGTTCAGCTGAAGGTACGAATATGACAGACCGTTTGTCCTTTCCTTTTGTTCAACTAAAAATGCCGCCTACGATTTGAATAACCCAAGTGAAAATTGAACGAATGGTAACGCTAATGCATGAAAAATTATTCGAATAAGAGCGAACGGCATTGATTATAGAACAAACAAAAAAGACAATAGCTTTCAACTTCATACCACGGGTGTAACAAAAAACCCATGAGAGTAAAAGGATGACATTTCACGGCCTCTTTACCAGAATAACATTATCTCAATGTCAAGAACAACGAATCTAAATTGTTGCACATATGTCGAATTTCACATACGGTGTTTTTGGAAAAATTATAAAGAAGCTTTTCCATGATAAGTGGACCTAGACCCAAATTAGAGCCCAGTAAATATTAGAATTGAAAATAATCTTAATTCGTAACGCAGTAGTTTCTCCTCGACTCAACGAAATAGTTTCAAACTTAGCATAATGGCAAAAACATATTGAAAATGTGTCCAACGAAAAATAAAGATTATTTGTCGGATATAACTTAATTTAGAGCTCATTCCGTAGACATTATCATGTCTGTAAACTTAGTGGTATCATAATTTCAAAACGGCTCGATTTAATTTGTTGAAAATTAATATAGTGCGAAAAGAGAAAATCCTGAAATTGTAAGAAAATCTATCGAGGAACCTTCGAGACCGTCCCTTAAAAACTGTTTGATGGGTTTCCCCATGGTATTAGTATAAAAATAGCGATCGTCATGCCATGTCCACCACTTCAAGCTTCGATCCTTTGGTAAACAAATGTGTGAAATTCGTTCGACTACGAAAGTTGATTTTGGGGCGCTTTTGACATAGCCAGTAGGCGTCTTGGAAAACTATCTCTGGCCACCTTGAAAAAAGAAGGCGGCTACATTGGCTGCTGCTTTCCAATGGATAAATTACCCCTACATTGAGGGGTTTCCTCCCTCTCCTCCCCCATGGCTTTTAGTCAGGTTTCCCGACAGTTTTCACTGCGAGAGTAATTTTAAAGTCTTGTAGTCTAGTACCTAGACCTGCCACGGCAAAGCGGTTGTAGCAGTACGCGGTAGAATTTGGGTATGAGAGAGTGACCCAGAGGGATCGAACCCAGGCCTTTCGATCTACCTTTCAGCGCACTCAAAAAGTACAGAATAGCTTTAATAACATCTAATAATTGACTCTGACAGACAAATGGAGACCATAAAAGATTTGGTTGACTGTTTCCACAAACACTTCTGGATTCACTAGGCGGTTATTCTACGAGTGAAAAAATCCAACATTTTGGCGTTAAAACTTATCATGCAGTACTACAATAATGATATGCTCCTTTAAAAATCCGTTTACGCTACAAAGGTTTCTTTTCTTTCAAATATCCTGTGATCAGCAGAATGCCACCTAAATGCATAACGTTATGCTTTTAGACACCCACCATTTAACCAACAAGAAGTCGTGTTTCCGCGCTTCTTCTCGCGTGTGATTTAACCTTCGCGTGCGCCTCGCACCTGCCCACGCTCGACCAAAAACACAAAACATTTCGCTAGTCCTGCGGTCTAAGCCTATCTTTTCGAAAATGGTGTTTAGTTGTAAGGAAAGTTGATAAGCTCCGACGTTATTGAACGAGAACTGTAACACGGTGGGAACCACACTGCAACACTTATTTAGAGAGAATCTTTTCTAGTTCCTCGACAGAGTTCACGGGAAGCGAGCAAGTGTAATTCTCGCACACGTAAGCTGTGGCTTTGCCATCCTTCCGTTCCAATGTCTTGAACACAGAGAGCTTGGATGCCAGGAACCCGTCTTGTTTACCATCACATAGCATGAGGACTTTGTTTGGCATGTAATGGGAGTGGACGCACTTTAGGAGATCCTTAGTGTCTTGTGAGTCTCGATCGCCCGCAATAATAATCTGAAAAAAACATTTACTTTGAGATGTGGCAAGAGGTCATGTAACTGAACTAGTCATTGGAGCAATTTTCATCTGAGTGTATATCGTGATCCGAGACGGCTTTGGTTTTACTTAACTTTGCCCTGTGATTGGTTTAGAAAACTCACACCATCGTCTCAACCAATCAGATGCAAAACCAAAAACAACCGCGACCTGGTCACTTGCGTTTTCCCACGCTTCAAGTCATTTGCTTGTTTTTCCTAAGGGGCTGCGCGACACACAAGAACTTAACTAAAATGTTTACCTGTTTTCTAGGTTGAAGATACATGATGTAATTTGACACTAGTTCAGGGAGAGCGAGAGGAATCTTGGAAAGGAGGGTTACGGACGCCTTTATGATTTCCTCTGCCCTGGTTATGTAAGACTTCTGATCTACAAAGCTGGACAATCGAATCAAGTTACCAACAGACGTGGAGTTAGCACTGGGCTCCGCGCCATCTTGAGCTGAAAAAGTAAAGGGATATTTGAGTTGAGGAGTAAAAGATACATCGTTCCACACAACATATCCCTCGAATCCGGGGGCCTCCTCTTAGTTTCCAACAACTCATCTCTCTTCGTTGCTAAAGATTTAGTGTGAAGATGAGCATATCATATGACGGGCTAACAAAGGCCTGGTTATTACGATCTGGGAGCTTGTGACCAGGATGTTGGTAACAGGCTGGAAAATATCCCATGTAAAAATTTTGTTCCGATCTGGAATTGCTCACTAGATCAGATTACAAAATTCGTCCCCCTAACAGGACTAGCCTGGATCCCGGGCTCCGATGAAGAGGCCTGTAGACACTAGTAACTTCCGATACCCCTAACACTCGCCCCTAACAAACACACACGAAAAAAAACCTTAGTCACTTCGTCATACAAAAATATGAGTCGGTGCTTCCTTGCTTCTGGGATTAAAGAGCACAATTGGAAGGAGGCACAGGTTGCCAAATACGTTTGAAAATAAACTTTGTCACACTACATTTTCTTTAGTCCTCAACTCCCACGAGTGACCGAGACAGAATTTCTCCTCAAAATGTTAATACAAATAGTAAGCAGACAAGTGAGGAAAATACCGAAAAACTTCAATTAGCAGATTATAAGTTGATCCAATAGCAAGTTCTCCGAACTAATATTACAAGAATTGTACAGCAGATTGAAAGGAGAATTACTAATGAGATCCTTCAAACCTTCCTTCATCCTAACAAGAATAGAAGGATCATCAGAGGTCGCCATGTAGTACCCAGCTCCTGCACTGTCCCAAAACAGTTCGTCTAATTTGGCTTGTAACGTTACGGCCCATTCCAACCACTGCTCGTCCAAAGAAGCCTCATACAGGTCTAATAATCCGCGAATCATGAACACATAGTCGTCTGCAAACCCGTCAATTGGTGTATCTCTAAAAAGAGGAATAACAAGATTGAATTATCCTCTAAATGCATAGCCTACGAGCATTGTTTCCTTTTAAGCGAAGTCCGTCGCGCGAGTAAAAAAAAATTGATTTTAGCGCGCTGCGGAGAAAGGGGCATGCAAAAAACTCCGCGTGGCGCACAACGTAAATTTTTTTTGCTGTTTTTTTTTTTCTGTTTCTTGACTCGCGCGACGGACTTCGTCGAAGATGAGGGACTGCTCGTAGTCTGCCAATTACGTAGGGAACGTCGTTACTTACATCTGCATAACCTCGCCGCCCTCGCCTCGATAGCAACTCCGTAAGAGCTTCCCGGATTTCTTATCGAACAAATGTTTCTTCACGAACTCCGCTGCTTTTGCTGCTCTTTTCTCGTACACATCTTCACCCAGAACTTGGGCTGCACGCGCCAAACCGGAGATCATTAAGCCTAGAAACGAGCATGAACATTGTCAAATTGTTATTTTAAGATTTTTTTCCCACTTGTGAAGGATAACGCTAATAGTGAACAACGAAGCCTATAAACTACATTTAAAATTTGCTTCCATAAACTTAGTAGGCCATGAGAGCATAGAATTGTCTCTCTTTTCAAAGTTAATCATTCTTTTCTTTTCCACAAAACATTTAAAACCAGGAAGGTTGATCATTATTCTACCATTGAAAAGACGATAGCTTTACTATTGCGTAACATCCAATCGAAAATGTGAAACCAGAAAATGCGCGGTAAAAAACACGTGAACCATATTTCACACGATTTGGATTTGCACTTGATTGGCTAAGACGACTGAACACTATATTTCTCGTATATAAATTCACCGTCATCCCTTCTCGCGCTGTTTTGATGAGTTTGCACTTGATTGGCTGAGACGACTGAACACCTTATTTCCCGTGTGTACGTTCACCGCTGAAAACTAGTCCTAAAGCTTAGAAAATTCAATTACTGAGAGTTACCGTTCCAAGCAGTGATCATTTTAGTGTCCAAGTGAGGAGGTGGTCTGTTCCGTCGTTCCTCGAAGAGAATTTCTCGAGCTCTGGCAAGCTGCTCTTTTGCCTCCGCTTCGTCAACGTCACATATTCGAGCGCTCTCTTCCAAACTGCCCCGCACAATAAGAACATTCTTGCCTCGAAGTTCTTTATGAGGATCCTGCAAGAAATAGGAAGGATAAACTCAGGTACATCAGTCAGTCAATTAGTCCGCTAATCAGTCAGTCAGTCAGTTAGTCAGTCACTAAAGGGAGTAAGTTTCTAAAGAAATTGTGATGCTGCGTCGGTGGGAGAGTATAACAGGGTAATTAAGTATTATCAACTGAGTTGATAACGTAAATTGGCCACCGTAAAGAGTTTTAATGCTAATAACTCTTTACTGCGGTCAATTTGCGCTATCAGCTCAGTTGATAACACTAAATTACCCAGTCGGTTGGTCGGTTTGTCAGTCAGTCATGTTAATCAGTCGATTGGCCAGCCAGCCAGTCAGTCAATCAGTCAATCAGCCAGCCTCTAATTAAAAATTTTTATCGAGCCGGCCAAGAAAAGTTCACATTGCGATTGGTATATTTCCACTTCAACTTGGAGTACATACACTAAACTCGTCTGCCGGAGGCAAATCATTAACTCTGCATTTATCTCTAACAGACATTATGAAATTCCCACAAGATACTAGATATAGGGATTACGAATCATTAGTACATATAACAGAAAACAAAGTTGTCAAACCTGGTGAGGTTTGACATTTCCCTCACTCTCCACACCATAGTGTTTTAAGAACATGAAGGACACAGGAACCTTCTCGCCAGATTTGGTTGTAACCCGTTCCTCTAATAACAAGTCTCTGATCTCTTTTTCCTCCCAAACACAAAAGGCTCCTTCTTGCTTGTGAGTGTCACTTTGACTTGGTAAGGAATCAGCATCTTCAGCAGAGAAGAAACCACCTGCCTAGTAAGTGGAATAAGGTGAAAAAATTAAATCTCATTGTCCCTTCCCACCTAAGAGTACATATGGTACAAACAAACAGACCTGTCCAGAGTGAATAACTACACACCTAGTCACTAAATGCTACCAAAAACAAGATAGGCCTCAGCAGTAACCCTTTTATTTCTGGTCTCATTCATAATTCTCTTTACTGTCTGCCAAACAATTCTTATGATGTTAGTTTTAGGAGAATTTGGTATTGGATCAACTAATAATACCCTAATTGGTATTTTTCTCTATTCTCTTCACTTGTCTACTTGATATTGTACTGAGACTGTAAGGAGATATTCTGTCTTGGTCACTTATGGGAGTTAAAGGGTTCAGGTCTTCGCCACTAAAAAAATGTTAGTAGCTGTGGAGATTCTTTTTAAATTGTGCATAAGACAAAGTTTCACTTCCACTTTCTTAAAATATTGTAGGAAGTTCTTACAGCTGTATTACTTTCTTTTTGTCACTTTTTTTGTCCTCAGGTAATAGAAGGCAAAATTTAATTCTTAGGGCCTAAAGGCCCATGATTGATCTCAGTTTGCATGCACCTACCACTAAATATGATTAGAGGTAATACTGCAATCTCATACCTTGTGGCTTAAGTCACGCATAACATACAACGAGATGTCTCTTGTAGTTTCTGCAAACTTGTCATTTTTGCTGGCCTAAGGGAAAGATCACAAAAGTTATGAGATCATCATAATTATGCATAAAAGCAACCAAGCATTTGTCTCAATCACTTCTCAGTCAATCTCAATTACTTTGTAAAGAGGGGAAAACAGCACTTGATCATTGCAGTTTGTGTGTGGTTTAGCTCCATCTTTCTGTTTATAAACTACACAACCCACAACAACAGCTCCAGAAACTCTCTAAGGTGGCCAATTTACATAGTCAACTCAGTTAATAAAAACCAAATCATCTTAATTAAAGTAGATATGTTTACAATAAACAATACCCTGAGTGTGTTATACTACCTGGAATCCATCAGCATACAGAGCAGCCAGCTGTGCCTGATCATACAGCATCTTCTCAAAATGAGGAACATGCCAGAAACGATCTGTTGAGTATCTGTGAAAACCCTGAAAAAAAAAACATATTTATTTCATTTATAAGTACATAAATGCTGGACTCTTTCAACCCTTTACACCTGAAAATCATCATGCATATTCTCCTTTCTGTTCCCTATAAGTTTCCTGAGGTGCTGACAAGGAGAATTTGTTAACAATCAAGAGCTTTTTTAGTTGGTGATCACTTCCTTCATTCTCATGTCCTTATTGTTTTATTCACTAGTGATAATGTAAGGAGAAAATAGATGCTAGTCATTCCTTGGGGTTACAGAGTTAAAGAGGTTTAAATACACTTACAGTTAGCAGAGTATGCAAAGTTGAGATGGTAAAAGGTCCTAGTTTAAAGTATTGACAATATTAGGGCTCAAAATGAGACCATTCAATTATGTGGGGCAAGATTATCTGTACAAGAAAATTTTATGGCTCAGATTCCCACTACACAAAGTCTCCAGCATGCAAATTTTAATTGAACATTTAGGTATCAGCTAGATGTCAGTTTGTCCTCAAGTAGGAATGTAGGGAGAAGTTACCAAGGGGAGGGGGGTACCTGGAAAATATGGATCAATGTCAGTATCTGAACAACTGTGCACCTACCCCTCCCCTATTCCAACATTAACCCTACCTTGACATCAGTTGACTGTTATTGGGGTAAGGGAAGGGTAGGTGTGCAGTTTCTCAGATTCTGACATTTATACAAAAAAAAATCTTATGTATTAATTTTGGAAACATGTTAGGTTTATTAATCCCATTTATTGTTTTTTCACAACAAAAATTGGGAGTTACATTGACCATAGACCTCACCCTCAGGGTATTCCCCTTGCTACAGGGTCACTTGCTAGTAATTAGCCTTAAAAGCTAACCTGTCCAACATGATCATGTATTCCACCCTTATCCATGAATTCCAGAGTCTTCAAGACCATACCACGGGCCTTCTTTCCATCTTCAGACCCAGTCTTATAGGAGGAATATCTTAGGAGAAAGTTGAAATTGGCTGCAGAAAACAGAGACATTACAAATTAGATCAGTCACTATTTATGAAAGAGCTTTGAAGCTCCAACTTGTGTACTGCAGAGAGGAATAAAAACAACCTTTTGACAGTGTTCTTGGGCGAGACACTACAGCCATTTAGAAAGTAATAAAAGATGTTTCTAAGAAAGCTAAAAGTCAAATTTTTACTCACAGGCTTGAGGAAACTTTGGTGCCCCTCCATATCCACCATATTCTTCATCAAAACTTGTGCTCATGTCATTTAGTAGTTTGTCAATGCAGTCTGTACTTGGCAAACCTTCTGTCTCGCTACCTTTGTGCATTTCACCTGTATGTTGCTGGATAGCAGTTAAAATTATATTTGCTTGCTGTGTTAGCTTCTCCCTGTTTTGCTCCCACTGAAAAAAAAAAAAAACAGAATCACTTTGAGAGCTTGTAACAAGGAATGAAACCAAGAAGGAAAGGATTAACCTTTTACATCCAAACATCAGTATGCATATTCTCCATACTGTTCATTATACAGTTTTTAAGGTGCTGACAAGGAGAATTTGTTTAACAATTAAGAGATTCTTTAGTTGGTGATCATTTCCTATCTTCTTATGACTGTCATGTGTGATTCAGGGGAGTTATTGCAAGGAGAAATTAGACAGTAGTCACTCTTAGGGGTGAAAGGATTAAAATCCTACCTGTCATTAACAACTTAAACTTGATCAGACACAAGCCAAGAAAATTGAGCCAAGTATGAAGCCATATCAGTAAACTTTAGGTAAAAAGGAAACTTAAAACCATAAAAAGTCCCTTTACAGGTCTATAATTCGAGCTTGTTCAGTTTGGGTTTCCCTTTTTGATAAGTTCCTTCTGGAATTTTTTTAGCTGTGGTATCATGAGACTCAAAAACAGAAAGTCATGATTTGTTTGCTAAATTTTTTCTGGGAGGCTTACTACAAATATATTCAGCAGTGGTATAATCAGACTTAAAAAAAGCAAGTCAGGAAGATAAGATTTTTCTCAATTCTCTCACTTTTAGTCTTTTTGGGAAGCTTGCCATTTAGCCTCAAATTCATATGCTAAAAAAAATGCCCAGTCTTGCCCAATCATACCTTAGATGGAGTACTATCTGTTTTTGAAAACAAACCTGCTTAGAAATGTGGTTAAGAATTGTCCTAAATCCTGGGCGGCCGCCAACCTGGTCTTCAGGAGGAAAATATGTTGCACCCACAAATGGTTTCAAGTCTGGAGTTAGCCAAACACTCATTGGCCAGCCTCCACCACCAGTCATAGCCTGTAACAAAGTAAAGAAGAGTGATCATTGCTTAAATTCTCTATACTGTCTTAAGACAAAGTTAAATAGATAAGTAATGAGAATTCAAACAATTAATTTTAAAAGAGATATTGTTTAGATAGAACATCAAATTCTTGGCCTGAACTTAACGAGAAAGAACTATACTAATAGCAATTAGCATATAAACCCACAAACAACCCACAATTCCTCTAATTGCTTTGAAGAAGGGCTAGCGCTCTAAATGTCAGCCTTTAAACTCTTTACAATGGCCAATTTATGTTTTCAACTCAGTTAATAACACAAAATTACCCTGTTATACTCTCCTACCATCACAGCACCACAGTTTCTTTAGAAACTTACCCACTTTATACTACCATCAGTCGGGAGAATCAGCTTTCAGATCAAGGGAAAGAGAGGATTAAGTATCTGATATATTCTACATAGACTGCATTTTCATTGAGCACTGATGTTCAATTGAAATACACACCATCAGCATGTAGGTAAAAATTAGATGGTGCACAGATCAAGAGAAGCCAATCAGTAATCAGTACTTATATGCCAAACTTTTTCCATTATAATTAAAAATTTGCAGTCTGTTCTTGATTTATACCTGAATATAAGTCATATAAACTTTGTCCACATCAGGCCTTTCTTCACGATCCACTTTAACTGAAACAAATTTGTCATTGAGGATCTGCGCGATCTCTTCACTCTCAAAAGATTCTCTTTCCATCACATGGCACCAGTGACAGGTGGAATAGCCCACTGTATTAGAAGTAAAAAAATTAAAGTTAATATCATTGGTATTTTTACCACTGGTTTCATTATTATCACACACCTTTCTGACACGTATGACATCTAAAACAATGATCCAGCTTCTGACAAACTCTCTTAAAATGATTTTTCCACAACATGTTATTTCTACTGGTAATTAAGCAATGACAATCATTCCTTCTTCCAGAAAATTTGCAAAAGTCACTCATCAAAAAATGGACATATTTCAACTGTTGTGGTGGAAAAGGTTTTCAGTCTGGTGAATGTTTCTTAAAAAGTTTTTTGTTCTGAAGTACAATGAATTACAATGCTGTCTCACTTACCAGATAGAAAAATAGGTTTGTTTTCACTTTTTGCCTTGTCAAATGCTTCATCTCCCCAGGGAAACCTGATAAATAATTTTAATTTTGAAACCTGGTGATGAAATTTGATAGGAACCTCCATTTGATAGAGAGGGGGAGGACTGGTGCAAATGTGGGGGGGGAAGGGTCATTACATTTTATGCAACCAAAAATACAGCAGGGACAGCTTCAAGACCACTTTGTACATGATAGTAAGTTTATAAAAATTTTCCTAACACCAAGTTCAACCCAAGAAATTTCTTTCAAGAGTGACACGTTGTTGGTCATTTTCTAAGCCCTAGTTACCACCCTTACACCCTCTGTTTGTAAATTTGTTAACAAATCGCTATCAGATTCTGAGCATCCATCCTAAACCACATATACAAATGGGTTTGAGTACCGTAACACTTTAAGAGTGTAATTTCAGGGGCTTTAGAAAAACTTTTACAGTATCTTTTATAACTTTCCCATGAAAAAAGTCAGGCAACGGGAGACAAAACATTTCATACGAGTTGCTTGTATGTTCATTCATGTTATATGGAAATCGAACACCCTTTTCAACCGTCAAAGACAACGCCTGTTTATATAAACATGTATAAAATTATTACGTACAAAAGTGAAATGTCTAGTTTGTCCACACGCATGAAAGACTTTTATGATCAAAGTAACGTCAGATTTTCAAGAACGAATCTCTGATCAGAAACTTACCAGTCAACAGGGTTGTGCTTGTGCTGCAGTAGGTAAGGTGATTTAGAGTGCTGCAAACGGTTTGTATGTTTGGGTTTCCCATCTCCCCCTTCGCCACTTGCCGATGCCATTGTCCGATGTAGAGTTAGTAAGTATCTGTGGATGTACCTGGAGAGACCGGTATTCCTTACTGTTTTTTTTGCGTTTGTCGAGATCAAGGGTGCGAAAAAGCAGCGAGGAAGTACTGACATGGGGGTACGACTTTAAAGAAGATCCCGCTTGCTTTTACGGGAGCTGGGAATGAGTGTAAAAATGCAGCCTCGACTTTATTCATTAGTTAGTATGTGGTGTAAACTGACATCAAAGCGGTTTTGGGCAGTCCCGGACTTTTCTTCCTGTAGTGTTTTCAGGGCCTATGGCAAGGGCTCTTAGAAGTTTTTTAAAAAAAGCAACATAAAGGCTGAGAAACTCTCCTATCCTTGTCGTTTGAAAAAGTGTAACCCTAGCCTTAATTTTTTCCCAAGTACCACTCTAAACTAGTTTACCTTCGCAGTGACAATCTTCAAATCTCACAAAACTTTCCCTCACTCTCACTACAAACAAATTACAAACATGCTGATGTCAATGAGTCGACTTACACGTACAAATTCGCAATTTTATTGATTGTAAGAACAAAACAAACCTTCCCTTTTGTCCGCTTTCCAGTTGTCAATGCAATAAAGAACAAAAATCTTCCCAGATTTTAACCGTGGTCTGCCTGGGCAGTAATTGATAACCGTTGTAGGTAAGACAAACACATCCACACACTTTAAGTCACAGACTGTGACGTTATTGAATTATTAATGAATTTGCCCCACAAGACAAAGACTGGTGGAGCGATGATTTATAGCTGTGTGTGGATGACATGGCCGAGGCTAAGAGAAAACCATATGCCAAGAAGAAGCAGGTCTCACGAGACAACTCAGTCTCAGACAACGATACATCTTCTACAGTGAGGTGAGACTGGACGATATTTAATAGAACTTTTATTTTACACAGCTAAGACACTTTTGAGGAGATGAAATTATCTTGGCAGACAAGTGTTTGGCAGCTCGTAAAGCGGCTGCGAATAGAAAATATTAAAAGTTATTATGAATATTTTTCTTAGGTTCGTTTTCGCAGCTATACTTTGAGTGACGAAATATTACTGCGAGAATCATTTTATTATCATACCTAGTTTCCGCAGTTAATAAGACTTAAGTAAAATCTATAATATTTATGCCTGTGATAACAGTCTTAATCTTTAAATACAGATCGACCAATTTGCCTTCTCAGCAGCAACTTGTGCGAAAAGTTAAGTTCGTAACTTAAAAATGCCGACTTCACTCGTTTGGAATTATGAAAAATAATTTTGAAAAGTTAAAATAATGTTATCTGTATAAGAAAAATTACTCAGTTTTTCTCACATAGTCTCGCGGGAGAATTTTTTTCAGGGAGATATTCTAACTTCCTCATTTATGAAGTTTAAATCTGTCGGTTAAAATACCTGTTGTTGTATATACATGGATATAATTCGAAGATGAGCCAACTCAGCATCAAGTAGAAAATATTACGAGAAATAGAATTAGATGGAATAACCTCATTAACAAGGAAATTCCCAGCGCTAAATTGCGATTTAATTTTTCTCAAGAAGTATGCAGTGTTTTTAAGCTTGAGTGGTATACATAAATTAACTTTATGCTAACTCATAATAACATGCAATATGGAAAACTGGACGATAAAGCTGTCAAGTGAATGTCATGACTGACAAGTAGTTCTTGTCATTATGTAAGTTCTTTCATGTGGTATTAATTTTTCTTTTAGTGTTCAAAACACTCACCAGCCCTTCAAAAGTTTGAGTAATAATTGTTAATCTCAAAAACCTCTGACGAAAAGTCAAATGAAATGTAGAAAGAAAAATTGTGACAGTATTACAAACCCATTTGGCGATAAAAAGATAGGGAAATGAGTTTGTTTATTTAAATATTTGTTCTTGGAATTCTAATTTTAAACATCTTAGCTACAAGTTATCACCTATTTTGAAGGAAACTACAAGGATATTTTAGCACTTTTTTTCATCGCTAAAACCTCGACAAGCATTGAATTTGCACAAAGATTGTCAACTTAGTTTTGACATGGGCATTGTTTCCATTTGCGCAACAATATTGCAACATTTCAATAATGCTCGCCTATTCAATTCATATTTCGTTCGAGTTTGCTTATCGATCAAAAAGCGTCCTGGTTGCTATGGAGGTGCCAGGGCCAACACTGTGTTGGAAACACCTGCGCATTTACATAGCCAAAAAGACGCAACGTAGTAATTTACCGTTGTCATTTACAGTGTTTGTGAAAAAGTTAGCTTTGACAAGAAGCAATTCGCTTATGACTCATCTCGTCCTAAAGAGGGCAGTTCTCGAGAGTATTTTCGTGTTAACGAGAGCTAAAATCGGATGAAGCAGTACAAAGTATGGCGAATCCTCCGTGGAACAAAGGACCAGTACAATCAACCTCCACAGCGATTTCATATGCTCGAAAAAGGTATTTTGTTTATGTGATACGTTTTTGTGTTGATTCTAATGCAAGGTTCGTGCGCACGTTTTCTTTGTTTACCGCGATCGAAGTTTTCAAGGTGACAGAAACAATTACTATACTAAAAGTGGAATCGATTCTTTTTCCTCGTGAAATAAAATTCAGCTCGGAATCTTTTCGACTTAAAAATATCATTCAACCAGTTAGCACAGGAGGGCTTTAACTTCCTAATGCCGCTCATTTAATTTATCTAAAGGAAGACTCATAAAATTAAATTGAGATATGTTGACTTAGTTCAAATGAAAAATATCCTTTCTAAGAAAATGAGATGAAAAAATATTATTCTATCGCGTATTCTATCTTAGCGTTTTAATCCAAACGAATTTCTTTTTTTTAACTGGTGAAGAAGTTCGAACATGTCAGCTTTTACCAAAGATCGAGTGGTGTCAGAAAATCTCCTTTAAATCAAGATCTCAGCTTCATGAACGTCGTTGTAACTTGAGAAATTAAGATACCTTTGTACTGAGGAAATATATCGTGCGTTTCTCTAACTATAGAACTTGTCATTCAAAGTCAATCTAAACCCCCCAAAAATTAAAACGATATATTCTTGATGTTCTCAAATTTTAAGCCGCGAGATTTGCCAAATAGTGCTGTTATTTCAGTCTCAGACTACTTTTAATGATTTTACTTTTGCAACCCATTGTAAGATAGGCTCGGATACAAATCCCAATTTGTTTCAATGACCTTGATTCGCTGCTGGTAGTGGACAACTTCAACTTGTCATAAGCTGTCCAAATAATCTGCTTTGAAAAGCAAATCCCTGTCGGATGAATGTCACAACAAAAATATACTGATTAAACTGAGCGAATTTATTTCAAAAAAAGTAATTGGAGGAGTCGGTAGATGTTATTGAATTGAACAGTTAGGAAAATCTTTTGATGAGGAATATGTGTGACGCCATGAGGAAATTCATGCTGAAGAATCCCGCACTTGACTAATCGATAACATTAGGCAGGCTTACTTAAGAGCCAGTAATTGAACGAGCCATATTTCACGTAGAATATAAATGGCACAAGATGTGCCGGCTTCAGTTTTGATCAGAAAAGCGGGTTCTTGGAATCGAGACCCACGGCATTTTGCAGTTGAAGAACACTAAACCTTTTAATAATTGGCTGATTGTCGATTTTTTGTTCCGCTGCGGGTGCAAGTTTTTGCAGTTTGAGATGAATGAAATTGCCACGGAGAATTAATTTAGATCGTAATTTTATGTCAAACTTCAAAACCTCACGGCGTTAACAGGGATGCAAACAGAAATTCTTAACCTTTTATTACTACAGTGAGCTACAGCACATTAAACTTATTGGTTACATTTCACTTAATTATGTTAAATCTCCAAAAGCTAATAAACTACCGCCTGAAGAAGCTGACACAACAACATAATCAGACAAATAGTGTAGTACCCCTATACCCCCTGTCTAAGTTCCTGGGGTCTATATATTTTCGTGTAGAAGATTGTTTTTTTTCGGCGTCATATTTTATGATTTTTTTTTATTTTGTATTTTTCGTAAGGAATATGTTTCTGCAGTTTTAAGGTCAATTTGCAAAACCGGCAGAAATTTAAACACACAAAATTCTTTTCCATTATTGTGTCGCATTTTCATGCTACACAATGCCTCTGCGTAGGAAGCTGTACAACGACATTGTCAAAGCTTCCGCCTTTCGTTTGGGCAGACGTTTTATTGTTGCGTGGCCAGATGTTGAGTTTTGAGGTGATAATTTCGATTGAGGTTTTTGTCTCGGTTTAAAACACTTTTTTCTCGAATTGGTTTTAAAATAACAAAAAGTATCTTGGTTGAAGCAAGAGAGAAAGAAAGAAAGAAAAAGGAAGACAATTTCCGTCAGTGTAGAGTATCGACGGATCGTGTATGTGAATCCACTTTTTCGCGCATAGATTTTTGCGGTAAAAAAAAAAATGTTTTGATAAAATAGGAAAAAAGAAAATAGATTCCCGGCGGTGTAGGGTTTTAAGTCATCTAAGTGAACCCACGGGGAATCTATAGCGCTGCACATCGATAGAAAAAAGCTCATAATAAGATAATTTTGCAATAACATTATGGACCATTCGCATTATCAGATCGCTGGACCGAAGAAACATCAAGTTATACAATCTGGCTTATCCTGACTGCTTCTTACAGGCAACTGAATTTTAGCCATGAATTAAAGTCGTCCTAATCAGGTTGTCTCATTTTTTTCCTCCATGTTTCAAGTCTGCATGCAAGTTTTCGAGTAATCCGTCAATTTCAAACAGCCTTAGAATGAAAAAAATTAAATCTGGAGATACTATTGATTTTATAAAAATACAACCTATTAAAACTGTCTGCGTAGTTGAAAAGGTTAACACTTTGGCTGGTTTCAACTGTAAATGCCAATTTTTCTGATAGAATTAACCAACACCTCCTCCTACTTGTGGGATGATAAATTTAGTGGGAGTATAATCAGAATATCTTAGAAGAGTCACGAGAGGGTAAGGTCCTCTGAAAACTAATAATTAAACGAACCGATAGCAATTTGAGAATTTGGACGTCGTTCCAAATCGAAGAACTTCTGCTGAATGTGACACCTGAAAACTTGCCCACTCCTTGTATTTGTCTTAATGATAGTACGGATGCAAGAAATTGGACACCAAGAGCGCATCATGTAATTTTCTCATAGTTGTGGACACAGGGGTTCGGAA